AACAAATTAAAAGAGATATGCAATGCAACAATATCACAAAGTATCACTAAGTAGCCATTACATATACAAATAACATAATATGGATTGCAAACAATAAAAAACAGCTAATGTAGATTTTAAAGATAGCAGAAAAATTTTTTAAAATAAATAATATAAAGATAAACAAATCCAAATAAATGCTATTTATAATAAATATAAAAGTAAAAAAAAAAAGAAATGATTTTTAAAAAAAACAAGATAATAGAAGAAGCAAAGAACAAGATAATTTACTTACTAGGAATATGACTAAATAATAGAATGAATGAAATATTAGTAAAAAAGAAAACTAAAGAAATAATCAGCCAAATAATAAAAAATCTTAGATATAAAAAAATGATGATGAGTCAAATTGTATATATAAACAATATATAATAATACCAAAATTAAATTATATATTACAATTAACAAAAATATCAGAAAGAAATATAAGTAAAATATACTAACTAATAATAAATTTAGTAAAGCAAAAGAGTAGTCTACAAAAAACATTAAAAAACTATATAATAGAATACAAAGATCTTAAAAATCAAAAAACATTACAACAAGAATTAGTAATAAAACAAATAAGTAGCTTATTAGCAAAACTAAATAAACAAAACAGTCTTAGATAATTAATAAAATTAAGAATAAGTAAAGCTGCCAAAGAGCAAGTTTAACAAAAGATATATGAAAAATAAAAAAGATATCAGAATATATAGAAGATTAAAAAAGTAACTTAGTTTATTTATTATAACTAAAAACAAAAAAGCTTAATATAAACATAAGAATAAAAGACAATTTATGAACAATGTTTAAATATAAAACCAAAATAAAAAAACTTATAGATACATAGTTATAGAAAAGAAATAGTATTAGAATAAATAAAATAGACTTAATATATTTAAATTAGCTGCTTAATATAAAAGGAAAAGATTAATTACATAATAGCAATTAAAAAGTTATTAAGGTCTATCAAGTAAAGAAAAAAAAGCAAAATAGTTTAAAGTGATAGAACTAAAAATACTTAGTAGACCAGAAAGCAGAAAGGTTAAAAGATATTTTAGAATAAATAAACAAAATACCTAAGCAATACAAATAAAATAATAGTATATTTTAGAAAATAAAAAAAGAAAAGAATAGGTAATATTTGATATACAGAATCATTAATAGTTAGAAAAGATAATTAAAAAGAAAAAGAAAAAAATATTAGTAGAATATTAGCAAATATAGAATAAAGAAAGTGAATTAGCTATTGAAATTAACAGATATAAGAGTTATATAAGAAAAGAAAAATATTTAGAAGATAGCTGTTAGCAATAAATAAAAATAAATAACAAAATCAATGTAATTTTAAATGTATTAATAAAAAAAGACAATAACAAGATCAAGATAGTAATAGATCAAATAACAAAAACAATAAAAACAAACAAACTAGTAATTGGAGAACAAAAACTTGAAGAACTAAAAATAATAGAAGAGCTAAAAGTAAAGATAATCAAACAATAAAAGTTAAAAGAGAACATTAGTTAAAAAATAATAAAAGTTTTAAGAAAAAATATAATAAGAAACAAGAACAAGTATATAATATATATAAATAAAGCAGCAAACTTGAAAACTAAAAAAAATATAAGAAATAAAAATAATATAAGTATAGGATGGATGCAAATAGATAAAATATAAGAATAGCCAAAAGAAGAGTTAGTACTAGATCTAGAAAAATAACAAATATCAACAATGACTAAGTTAATAACAATATGAGTAGCAATCTTAATAGTATCAAAAAAAAAATAAATAGAAATATACACAAATAGCATTGCTGTAATAAGAAACATTAGTAGAGGTTTAGAACAAATAAATAGAAATAAGATTCTTAAAAAGAAAAATACAATATAGATAATGAAAATTAGAAATCTTATTATAACAAAAAACATTTAGATAGAGTTTTTAAAGTTAAAAACTACAATAAAGATAGATAAAATAATAAAACTAATAATCTAATAAAAAAAGATATAATAAGTAAAAGGATAATACAGACTAAAGAAATTAGTTGTAAAGAGATAGAGTACTACCTAGAGTGAAAAGATAAATATATTAACATACTAGCAAGATTGTTTTGTAAATTAATAATAAACACAAAATTAGAAACAGAATGAAAAAAAATAAAAGCAATTAGAGAATTAGAACCAGAAACAGAAGTTACAATTTATAATTAAACATATTTTTAGAAAAGACTGAAAATATCTAAAGAAGTATACTGCATAACAAGAAGAAATAGTATCAGAAAAAGTATATTTATAAAATATATAATAGATAAACTTTCAACTCTAAAAGAATTTAACAAAAGAAGACCAGATGTATATGTCAAGATAAAATAAAAGAAACATAGACATATTTGGCAGCATATAAGAAATAAAAAAATTTTTAAAAAAGAATTTAAAAAGTAACTATCACAACAGTCTGAAAGGAGCTAAAAAAAAAAAAAAAAGTTCAGATTTCTCTATATAAATTATATATAATGCTTTTTAAGAAAATATAAATAAAAAAAATAAAAATAAGAGAAGCATTAATTAAAGATCTTATTCTAAAAGAAACACAGAACAGATTAAGACAGCTTCTAAGCATAAAATTAAAACAGCAGTTTATAAATATAATAGCAAAAACAGTCTTAAATACATTTTATGAACAAATATAAAGAATTTAATATAAAAAAATTAATGAATAAAAGAAAAATGAAAAAATAACAGATAAAATGAAGAAGAGAAAAAAAAAAACATCAAATAAAAAAAAAAACCAAATTAGTAAAGAATAAAAAAAAGAAAACAAAAAGTGAGAAAAAAAGAAAACAAATTAAAAAAAAAGCTCAAAAGATAATTTTAAAGCTTGTTATAGAAGAAAGAAGATCCTTTTATTATAGACTTTAAGTAATCAGATAAGTAGCTTACTTCTGCTTAAAGTAATGCAGCAAGTTGCACTTAAGTATCATTAGAATGGCTAAATGATGCTGAGCTTAATTGTTAAGAATATTTATGTAATTGCAAATATAATTTCAAAATCTTAATAAAATACTAGCATAACTGCTTAAAGAAAAAAATAAAATAAAAAATAAATAAATTTTATAAAGATATAACATATTAATAATTAATCTAACTACAAATATTAATCTCAATTATAATATTATTAAATCAACTGTAAATATAAGATATAAAAAAGTTCTTATAAGTTTAATACAAAATTAAAAGATTTTTACATAAGTGAACTGCCTTAAAAACTTCATTATTATGACATATTTGTATCAATAATAACCAGAGCAGTTGGTAGAATAAGTAGGTAAATGGATACAAAAACTAGTATTTATATAAAGAACTTACAAGTAAGTTCTAAATATAACAACTAGTGTAAAACTTTTAAGTAAACTACTTAAATTAGACAATAGCTAAAGTTGTACAAGTAACTAGTTGTACACTCTTTCTATAGTTGCCCTCTGTAATTGTAATGCAATCATTAATCAAAACATAACCAGCCAATCTAGATAATACAATAATTTAACTTCAATCTAAATCTTTTTTTACAAAAGAAAAGTTATATAATACACAACAGAAATCGCACTAAAATTTATATAAATTTGTAGCTATCTAAACACATTTTCAAGATCTAAAAATGATTTCCAGAAATCTTTTAATCAACTCGATTTTATATGAGACCACTCTTTAAAATAAAAATATTTTAAAAGTGTCATTTTTTTATATAATAAAAAACAATCAACAAAATTACAAACCAACCAAGAACCAAGCTTTATTAACATAATATCGACCAATAAATGAATTTTTAACCATACTCAAAATTATACGTATAACAAATTATAAAATTGATGAATTATGCGCGAAATTTAACATTAAACAAACCTCTAGTGCATCGACACATGACTTGTTCTAATACTAACCTTAACTATAATGCCGACCATGTTGTGTCATTAAGGTTAGTGCTTATTATTAGCTGTGTCGATAAACTGTGTCGGTAGTCAGTAATGTATGTTCAAGAAAATTATTGACATGGACCATAATAATCTGCGACTGATAATGTATTTGGACAAATGTCCAATAAAATCGAAAATTCTACGGACAGAGCTTAGGGACAGAACCAAATCACGTGAATAGTTAGTATTGGTTAGGGTAAGAGGAATTTTAATAATATCACGTGAGTTTGTTCTGTCCAGTTCTGTCCAGTTCTGTCCCTAAGCTCTGTCCGTAGAATTTCCGCAATAAAATCATTGAACATGAACATTTGTCCATGCATGCTATTGGTTGATCAGTAATAAATGTCCAATCAAATCATTGGGACATGGACATTTGTCGATTGTCCATAAACAGCACTATGTCCATGGACATGGACATGCCCTTCATTTGTTCATGGACATTAATTGTCCATGTTCATGTCCATTGGCAATACTGTCGGTAGTTATTCCCAATCTACAGACAGTTCATAGGGACAGTGAACAATCACATAATTGAGTTGTGATTAGTTGGTTAGCGGTTAGCAGGGACCCGGAAAACATCGATTTTATTTATAGGATTTGAAATAAAATCGATATTTTCGGCGGCTAGAGTAGATAGATTTTATATAATACCACGTGATTGCACTGTCCATTTTTTGCTGAATTGAAAATTACTAGTTCATGATTCTAAACGGATTAAATCACTAACATTAAAAAAAGAAATTTGTTATTTCCACACCCTTTTTAATATTGCTACACCCTTGTTAATAAAAATCAATCTAGATTATTATGGATTTGGTTGGGTTTAGAGTTAGCAGAGGTGTGGCAATATCAAAAAAGGGTGTGGAAATATCAATTCTCTAAAAAAAAAACAATCAATTTATCAATAACGCAAATTAGCAGCTTTAATATTTTATAATAAAACTAAGCATAATACATTAAACCACAATTCAATTCAATCATATAATGACGAATTCTCAACATCACATACAACCGCTCCCCAGGCAATGACAACCTTACGTAGCCTCTTTACATTATTTCTTCGAATCGCCAATCCTTCGCTTTTTATCAAAACGGAATGTCTCAACTGATGTATAATTATTAAATAATTGGTATACATAATTCACATTTACTCGGTGACGTGTATTGAATAAAACATAATGTCACATACCAATTTATTTTCATACTTTCTCTTTTTTTGACCACGTTTCTTTTCTCGTCCTGTTGGAAATTCGGACACGCGTGGTTTTTGATCTATTTCGTATAATAATTGTCGCGATTCAAGCTCGGCTAGGAGTGCATTATAAATAACTTTGACATATTTAAGTAAATATTCAGAAATTGTTGAAGCATTTGCATCATCCTGTGAATGATTTTTTCCTTCAGAAGGTATTTGAACATCTTTGTCACTCGTCTCTATGTCGGGCGTTAGAATATCTTCTTCGTTATCGTCATCATTCATCTTTGCAAATTCTAAGTCACGTGCTTGCGTATTTCCTTCGTCATTGTCGCCCGTTTTTTGAAGTTTTGCGCCGAGTGCTCGATTATCCTGTTCGTCATTCATTTCATCCACTCTTTTGTTAATTCTAATGCTTTCTTTTGATTCAACATTTCCAATATTCAAGCTATCGATAGTTTGCTGTGGTTCAACATCTCCAAACACTATCTCAGCATCATCAGCCCATGAAATTTTGGTATCTTGTTTTTTTTGTTGCTCCTCGGTTTCCACAGGTTCCACTTCCTGTTCACTTTTCCTCTTGGCGTACATGGGTCTTTCAACCCTACTTTCTAACGGTCCTTGTATCCATTTATTTTGTTTTTTCCTTGCTTGTTTGTTTTGAGGGATTTTTAAGGTATATTCTTCAAGTTCTTTTTGTCGTATTTCGTCTAATTCATTTCTCCATTCTTTATCACTGCCAATGATCCAATGACCAACAATCCCACAAATTCCTTGACTATCTTTAATGTCGTTATGAACTAGAAAATTGTATCTGTCACAAGCTGATTTCGCGTTAGTAACCAAATTGGAAGGAAGTTCTTTATGTTTAATTTCAGTACATCGATTCTCAAGCTTTTTTGTGAAAATCCTCATTGCCACTGTCAGGGGAATGGCCACCGATTCTAAAGGTGGCTTTAGATCAGGGGATGTCGATACAAGCATTTCCATAGAATTACCGGTGAGTTTATGAAAAGGCACGAATATAATATCTTTAAGAAAAGAAAAAACAAAAGCGGCAAAGAGAAAAAAAAACGAATGAAAATTATTAGTAATCTTCAGATTACGATTTCAGGCATTACGAAATAATATTGTCATTTAAATCATGATGCATAAAGTATGTAGTCATTTATATTTTTCAAATTAAATAGATAACTAAACTTTTATTAAGAACTTATGTGAATCTTTTTTGTTATTATACATATCTGATATGCGTAAAATTCGAATGGCCGTGAATTTGGAATTGAAAATTGATTTTGGAATGCATTAGATCAAATTATCTTATTGTGCATCAAATTAAAATCGATTAAAAGTTATAATAGGATGAAAAATAAATTCGCAAACCTATAATTCTATACGGTATTATTGTACATATTTCCATTATGACATTTACTTCTACATTCAAATCCAATTTTTTTTGCAACGACATTTATGACATTTATTAGTATTATAATTACTTAGTATTATAATTACTTTTACGCTAGTACATACTTTCGTACCAGTATTTTGATTCTGTGCAGCTTCTTTAACAAATATATAATCTATTGAAATATGTTTTAATTCTGAACATCCTGTTATGCTTAATGGCTCCAATTCACCTGCACAATATTTAAATGTTTGATTATAGTTCAGCTTATCTAAAATCTTGCATGGGTGTATAGGTCAATTTGTACCAAATCGATCAATATCAGATATGTACCAAACTGATTTCGTATTCTAATTTGTGCTCTACACTTCTTGGTATCTGTTATTTTTTGATAATTAATCTTACAGTGGTTGTAAGGTATATAAAAAATGTTGTAATAAATTAATCTAAATAAATATAAAATTATATTATAATGAAATTACCAAAATTTTGCATAATAATCCATAATATTTAATTCAATACAAAATACATAAATGGTATATAAAGAAAATTAAGAAATTTTAAGCAAATCTAATTTTTATTTTATTAATTATATTTATTATGTATATTTCAGTATGACACATAAATGATAAAATTAGTCTGATGCATCTTAGAATTAAAATTTAATTTTATACAACTTAATTTTAAACCTATGCTTATTTAATTTAAGATATAATATATATATATATATTGAACTTTAATGACACTATTAGTTGGTTTATTAGGTTTTAAATTTAATATAGTATAATTTTAAAATTACATTTACAGAATCATTATTAGTATTATATTAATTATTCTAATTTTACTTCACTGACTTTATCTGGTTATTTATATAATATCTAAGTTTATATTTATTATATGCTTGCATACATTATTCTGTTAACTATTATAATCAGATGTATTATTAAACTATTACATTTTTATAAAAAAAATATATTGAAATTATCTTAAATTAATATTTAAATTTTTTAGTATAAAATTCTATATAGAACTATATGAAATTGATTATAAATTTTGTATTACTTGATACAGAATATTTATATAAAAACTTTTTTATTAATAATTTAAATACTATATATTTTATTAATTTTTATATATAATAAATATAATTAAAGATAATTTTATATAAATTTCATATATAAAGAATGGTAATTCTAATGTAATAATTAAATTGTTATCTTTCAAATAGTAGGTTTAATGATCAAATCTCATTTATGACAAAATTTAGAAATTAATTTGTATTATAATAACTGTTTTTTGTCAATTAGTTGGATTTATGAATCTGTAACTTTAGGTGTATCAAGCTAGGTCTTACCTATTATTAGAAGCTTAGAGCATCTATATAAAATATAATATTATATATATATATAAAAATGTTAATAACTAGTGTTATATAAGATTTTGATGCAAACCTATAATAAGATCACTAGATATAGAGGATTAAGAAACTAAAGAGTTAGAAATCTATTTAAAAATTTCTAAATAAAGAAGTAACATAAACTTTTAATAATATTATTAGACTAGTTGAAGCTTACAAAATATTTTTATAGAAATAAATAGATAAATCAGATGATAAGATGTATAGAAAAAATATATTACCAACCAGATAACTCCTATAACTGCAAGTATTAATAACCATAATGTCTTATATAAAACTAAATTAATTGTATATAAAACATAATAAGCTTTAATAAGTCTTTTGTTAAGGTTCTAAGAATACTAATAAGTATTAAGAACTTGGATGAGTAGTGCTTCTGTAATACAAAAAGATTGTATATACAAAGGGTTTAAATAGATATAACTTATAGTTAACTTACAAATATAATATCTAAATTAGACACCAAAAATATACATGTGACTAGTTGTACTCTCTAATATAAGGTGATTTCTTTAAGGCTTCGGTTGTGAGTTCCTATATCCAATTTACTGAATAAAATCCTAGGCTCAAAAGAGGCTAGTTTAATATCACAAATATAACATCTAATATAGAACTTGTATAGTAATATATAAGCAAACTACTTAAATTAGGTATCAAAAGTATATATATAACTAGTTGTAATCTTCAATATAAAGAAGCTTCTAGAGGTATCAATGTTTTATAAACTTTAATAAAAATATTGCAACCTAAAAATAGAAACTTTAATATAAAAAATAAAATAAAATTTATATATAATAAATATATTTAAGAGTAAAATGTACTATAGGGTGTGGCGACCTAGTGAAGTGGTCAGGTTGTCAACCCTCCAAGTGGTAGGTTGGGTGTTCAAATCCCATCGACG